CCTAGCATTTACCTGCAGGAGTACCTCTAAAATGTACATGGACCCAATATTGTTAAGGCGACACAACAAACTCCTATTTTTGCTGTGCCACATCTTCAATGTTAAACCTTCAACCGAATGCGTACAACCGCAATGCGAATGGCTTCTAAATCCTGACGGCGAATCCCTGCGTGGGCAAAATATTTTTGTTGTTTGGAAACAAGTTTGCGAGTTCAAATATATTGTAATATTATATAACAGTTGCTAATGCGAGAAAATGCGCGCTATTGTAACACCACTATAGCTAAATCGCTCGCAAAAAAAAAAAAATCATCATGGCGGACGTGCCATTCGTGTAGTCTCGGACGCTTCTCCCACCATTCATCAGTTGCGATTTCTGCTCTCTGGGAGAAGGTGGTGCGGAGGCGACGAGTGGCGACTGCGAGATAGCAGCGATCGCACTGACCGACATTTGTCTTCGCTGTCCTCATTGTCAGGGGAGGAACACGCACTGCCACGAATGTCCACAGAAATGACGAATTCATCATGGTGTTGGTCCACCATTTCATTACCTTATTGTATTACAGAAACCCTTCTTTAAGACACGGCTTACTTTCAGTTGATCGTCTGAACAACCCCTACTGCAGAAACTCGTAAGCTGCCTTTTGTCAGACCCTTCTCACTCATCAGTTTGTTGTCACCAAACTCGTATTGTTAAATTACTGAGCGACCCACGAGAGAAAAAAGAGACAGATAGGGTGCTATGTTTTGACAAAGAGCGCAGGAAGATGGAGAAATATTTGTAGTTTCAGAGGGGTATGTCACGTTCGGGTATGCACAGTGGACGTATTTTTTGACTCTGGTAAAGCTATATTTATTTGTACGTATTCTGTTTAAAGAAAGTAATAGTGAAGGGAAAAGTGTCGGTTTTTGATCTGTAAAACGCCGGCCGTGATAGCGCAAGGCATCTGTTGACGTCACTACAGCTGCTCTGACCGGAGGTTCTAAGGTTTGAATACAGACGGCAACAGATTTTGACTTTAGCAGCTACTAGGTCAAATTCAGCGCTATCTAGAGAAGAATTCTAGCGGTCGCTTTCTCCAGCGTACCTTAAGAAATGGGCTATGAACCGGGTGCGATTTTTCGTTCCTCCCCCTTGCGCCTTCCGCTCCTTTTGCAAACACCTACACACACGAACACACAAACTTCCATGCAGAACACTAGTACACTTGTTAGGAGACTATTCGGAAGAGCTTGACTATGCTGGGCAGTGTCCCGCAGACGAAGATACTTGGAGGAGGAACCCTGCTAGCCGAAGTGGAGGTCGGCCTTGGTTCATACGTTCTTGTTGTAGGGGCACCGCTCCCGGGACATAACATGCACTACACCTATGGTACTAATGACCTTAGCTGTTGACGGGCCTTAAAACTCCGGTACATCAATCAAGTGTAAAACGTTTGGTAAATTCCTGCTGTCGAAACAATGGATACATTATCGTAAATTAGTGAAATCAAAATCCACCTTTTAGGAGTCATTGATACGGAAAAGAAGATTTCTGAAAAGTCTGTCCGCGTGTGTGAGAACAACACTAGAACCCTAACCGGACATAGGATTTTTACCAAGATTGATATTCTCCGATCGGTTTGGATGATGCTGCGGCGGCTGGAATTTGAATCTTTTAAGTTTTGCTTTACATGGAGACCCTCGGACATTTCAATTTCCCAAAATGGATCAATTTTTTAAAAAACTTTTCCTTAAAGTAGAGTACTTTCATATAAATGTGACAGGTACGATTTTCGTTAATATCTAGATCAACTGTTCGGAAAATATGAGCAGTTTGGGGTAGTATTTAAGTGAATTCGAGAATTTAAAGCAAATATGCAAACAGGAAATGTTTTTAATCTGAACAAAAATTTTTCTTCATTTTTTTGCTTGAATAGATGCATTATGATTAATAATATGCTCTTAAGTTCAATTTTATTTATAGCCTCTGTAATTTTGAAAATTTCAGAAGTTCAACCTTATTTTGATGCATGTGGAGCGTTAGTATAGTTACTTGGCGTATGGGATATGAGGCTTATCTGCGTATCCTGAGAAGAGCAACCATTATTCATCGCTTATTAAAGCTGGCGAGAGGGCATGTAACGTAATGAAAGTCATTCCGAAGACACCCACGGCGATTGTAATGTCAACCCATAAATCATCCACAATAACGGAAATGACAAGGACTCTGGTAGCGGAATCTATGCGCTCGAGTTCAAATCCCCGGCAAATATATAGCGTGCTAGTTTTAATTTCTTGTACTATAAATATTATTATAATAATATGTAACTTTTACAGATAATACAAGAAAGTATGTGATGTAGGAGCAACAGTAGTTTTCTTTATTCTTTCTTGCGACAAATGACCTTCAAGCACGTTATGTCTCTTGACTAGGTTGCCGAAGTCCGTTTTTCACTATGAATTTTGTGAATTTCTGGACTGAAGATTGTTTGCAGTCCCATCAATGGACGAACTTGTTCATCAAAGAACTACTCAATGTTTTCAACGGGAAATGATATATTCTCTACGAAATTGATTAAAATAAATTTGTTGCGTGGCGGAATTTTTTTATTTTCATTACTTTTTTTTATTTTGTTTTAGTTGAAGCTGTAGTGAACACTAAAAAAGGTTAGTTTCGGAAACCAATTAATTTATTTAGCAGTTAGCTTTCGAACGCATTGCTTCAGACCGGCACGAAACTATAGCGTTTGAGCAATGTGATTCTTTTGCGTGGGAAAGTGAGTGTTATACCGAACTCATTAAAGTACATGCTCTGTAAAGAAACATTAAAACACTTTTGCACGAGTGAGCTAATCAATTTTTCGCGAACATTAGTTGATATACTTCTGGAAGAGCAGTTACAATGTGAATGATGAAGAGTCGCTTTTCTGAGGAGAAACAGTGTCGTGCAGTTTTATACATAAATACAATTATAGGCCTATAGAATTATTGCCCCTGGATAACTAATCAAAACTTTTCTCAAGATGAGAAATTAACAGCAAATTAATTATTTCATTACATACTTCATTATAATATTTTTAAATGTGAAATTGGTCCAACCAAATTCACTCGAATTATATTTTTGGTTTTCTGTTACTAGTCAACGCATTTGCGCAGACATTTTGAAATTGACGAATTTTCGCGCATCTACGATTCACGACGATTCACTACGATTCATGATATCACACTAAGTTCAGTTTTTTTAAATTTTTAATCATGTACAAGTGTAACTCCTTTTCTATGTATGTGCTAACCATTACTTTGTATACCCCATTTTATTATGATGATTTCACTCTCATATATGCTTTTTCGCCCATATACTATTCTACAAGCTTATATTACTGTGTTCTATGAAGATTTAATAGATAAAGCACAAGTGATGATTATTATTTTATTTTGTGAAGAAATTATATTATGAATCAATTAAAGATTCTCTAATTGTTAAAAAAGAAATTTGTCACGTTGATTCCGTACGTTTCGTAAATCACAAGTTGTTCGCATCACTTGAGGTCCTTCGATGGTAATATCACTGTACAAGACGGTGTATTACCGTCTGTATTGGACTACGCTATTCAGGATTTGATTATGCAACGCAGAAAATATCGAAGGTATATATTCGATAAATATCTCTGGCTTTCGTTCACGTCAATCGACGTTACTATAAGACGAATAATGAAACAAAAATTGTGTTTCTATTATTCAAAGTACGGTGATCAGGCACACAATTGCAGACTACCTTTCAACTTTACGGGAAACGTCCGAGACAATTGTGTTGGCGACAGATGATCGTTTTCTAAGGACCCGTCCACTTGTTTCCAAAACATCCTTATATCACTTTTCTAGTTGATACAGGATCGGCTTTCGCGCTATCCCGTCTCGTTTGTTTAGCATAGTTCTCCTACGAGACATAGAGTAATGGTTGCAAACGATGCCATGGTATCCTTCAACATATGAGTAGTGTAATGTGAAACCGTCCACTGCCGGCGTACATACTAGCTTGCCCGGCTAGGTGCTCAGCTAAGGACATGGACATGATAAGGATTTCTTTATATCAGTCTCTCAGAGCACAGTGCTTTTATCACTATCCACACACACTCACTCACACACACACACACACATCTACACACCACAACCACAACCACCACAACCACCATCATTATGCGATGACTAGTAATCAACGTTATATAAAACATGCTTAGTTGGTAGAATGCTAATTTTAATTTTCTAATTAATAATGTTGATACATTTTAAAGGGCCGTAAATTGCTAAGCGCCAAATGTATTATAAATTATAGTTCTTCGGAATTAATGCTTATCAAACTATAAAAGTCAATGAAAGTGTTTTTTTAACCTGATTGGAATCGCAAAACAAACAAATAAACAAGCTCTTTAGCTAAGCTTTCATTCATCCTCACAATTTTCTGCGCCCATTTTCTGAGTGATGGAGGGAGGCCGCTAACCCCCGTGCCACAGCACAGCTCATCTGATGGCGCCACCACGACAGTTCCAAACCACAGCGCACAGATCCGCTCCCAATCCCCCCCCCCCAGCGCATATTAGTCGACCTCACCATAGTCTGGGTGTATCGACTGCAAGTTCTCGCGCGGTCATGTTGACCAATACATTTTTCACCGTTTCCATTTATAATAATGCTAGTCAGGTTGTGTGTCCCAAATTTAATATTATAGAAAAAGCGAAATTGTACAAAGATTGCTAACATTGTAGTCTACAGTGTTAATCGTGTTTGGGTCTTCCTTTTTTATGTGCAATATTCGTATATTATAATCTGAACGGTGATTTTTAGATGTTTTTTATTTATAACATTTGTAATTCATCTTTGCCTCATCGAAATTAATCTTCTCTTATTCTTCCAGAAATTTGGGGAACTGCTGTTGCTGCTGCTACAGTCGTTTTGGTAAGGTTTTGAACTATAAGCGGGTGGTGGAAAAGTTTTGCATGATTCCCAAGATTGTTTTTGATTTGTGAAACTTGGGCAATTTGATGTAGTTTACACATCCATTTTGAGTTTTGAGTTCAGTGACTAGTCGCTCATCGGAAAATTGTAGATTTAGACCTATGAAGACTTTGTTGTTTTTGATGATGAGTTACAATCTAACCGTAAGGAACGAGGTTTTTAATAATTATATGACAGGAAATACATCAAAGAGGATAATTTTATTTTCCTATGAGTTATCGGAAATATTTAACATCAATTTTGTCTCTTACATACAGTTAATGTGGTCGTACAGTTACACAGTACAGTACAGTACAGTACAGTACAGTACAGTACAGTACAGTACAGTACAGTACAGTACAGTACAGTTACAGTGGTCGTACATGTAAGGAAATGTGACAAAAATATTCGAAAAATATGAATACATTGTTGGAGAAACATGTAAAAAATGGAATTAAGAATAAGAGAACACCTACTTCTTATTACCTTGTACTAAAAAAGCCGAAAATTCCAAGATATGTTGAAACAAAAGAAAATTGAAACCCGTTTTGTAAACGGCCAAAAAGTCATCGGTCACTTATGGCTATCAGAAATATTACGTAATTTATTATCGTGTATGGTCTCCATTTACTTTGATTACTTCCTCCAGTCTTCGCGGCCCGAAGTTCACCAACTCTACAGAAGCCGCAGGGACAATTAATTTTCTAATGAGAGCATGCTTAAGATCTTTCTTGTTTGACAAACTGTATTTACTATCCTATATTTCAAGAACAGACAATATGTGATATATAGGATGAATGTCACAAAACTGAGGAAGTGTATGAATTTGTTTCTTGGTGTTTTAGAGCACTCAATCCAATATTGAATGCCTTTAAATATACATTTTGTGTTCCACCACATGATTGATTACATGCAGGACACACACTCTCGAAGCATTCATACAAGTACAACCCTAGAGTACCATGGATCCGCCATCGTGCTTCACTGTAGGCACAAGATTTCGAGGGTTCTGGATTAAAGTAGCGCCATAACATGCGTCTCCCGTTGGAGACAAAACTGTTAATTTTGCTTTTGCCTGATACATGACTGAATCCTTTTTTCTATACTCATTTGTGAAATTTAATCGATTTATGCTCTTTACTTCACTCAGCACATTTTCAGGTATGATACCTCGTTTCCGTACAAATATCGCGCCCTGTACTCGCTAATACTTCAACCTCACTTGTTTTTTAATTCCCCACCCAATTTTACATCGTTAATTTTAGAATTCCTTTGATTTCGTGTATAACCAATTTGACGTTTTGACAATTTCACGTTTGACAGTTTTGGCCTCAATTTTCGCAGAACATTTCTCATTGTTTTATAAACACAAAACCTATCAATTATTGATTGACATGTTAGACCCAGATTTATTAACAGATTCAAAGACTTTTGCAAAAATTACTCAAATGTAATTAGTGTTTTTTTCTTGTAACTTCGCTCATTTAGTATTTGTTTATTAATGTTTCTGTGTATTTGTTTTCCATTTTCACTTCCCATGAAGTGTTGGTAACTTTTTACTAACGATTAACCGGCTTTCTTACTTATGAGTGCTCACTAAGTTTCATGTATCATAGATGGTTGGTAAATACATTATTATCTGCTTCATTTCGCTTCATTCAACTGTAAGATCACTTTGTGCCTAATCTGCACGCCTTCTGCGGCACATTGTTTAATTTTTGGCTATTACATTCATATTTTTGAGGTTTTCTTTCACAGATTATTTATGAAATTTAATATCAAATAGTTTTTGTGAATTAACTTATTTGTTACATTCTGGGTTCCTTACATATTGATATTTACCTTCTGACGTAACGGTACTTTTTGTATTAACTTTGTCTACATTCGTGTTCATTGGGTCGTTGTTTAAAAAATAATCCCTCTGTAGTATAGATTTATATTTTTCGAGTGGTTTGCATCTAGCGAATTTTCTCGGTTCCTCTTTTCTCTCACTGTTTCTGTTCCTGTTGTAGGAATAAAATATCGGAAACGATATTTCATTTTAAATCTGTTTTATGTAATGAGAAGACAAATGCTAGTTTTCCTGTATAATGAAAATATAATAGCGATAAAATTAAGTTGTAGTTAGTGTTCGTTACAAGAAGTACACGTTACAAATTTGGCTTGAAGTTCAATCTTCGCTGGGCAACGGCAAGGAATCTAGAACGCTGTAGCATTTGCGAAAGGAAGAAGGGATGGAAAAGTTGACCAAGGCCGGAAGTACAGCGGTCGGTCATTTTTTGCAGGTAAAGATAGTAGGCATCGTTATATCCCAAAGGCGGAAAAATGTGATTAATTGACAGACCAATGATTTTGACTGAAAAATCAGAACTGTTAGAATACCAATATGTTCGCTTACGCCATACGCAATGGCGCGCCATAGCCTTACAAATGGTCGCAAGATATCTAACAGACGGTGTGTGATTTTTAAAACGAAAGAAAAGTCTGTGCTTCATTGGGATGCTTAATTTCCGGTTGACCTCTCTGTGATATATGAAGCGACAACTTATCATTAAATTGAGGCCTATATGTATGATTTCGATACAAAAAATATCATACTTTAAAAAAAATCATGAAATCTAATCTTGCGAATAATATTTCGTGTTTGTACAAAAAAAATATTCGTCATCCGTGAAGTTGAATATTTCGACGTTCATTAAACAGCTGGTTTGTGCGCGATCGAAGTTCGATATAAAGAATAATTTATACTCAATTAAACCAAGTGTATGATGAATGAAAATATTAAGTAATGGTAAGCGCGTTGTTGCTTTCACGATAAAATCTATCGGAAAATAAATTTTGCAATGATATGAAAATATTCCCTCTTTCCTCGCGAATTCCCTTAAAATAACTTAAAGTTACGGTGAATGATTGTGAAAAAATAGCAACGAGAATCAGATTTAGTTCATCTCTCTCCCTGAATTTTTCATGCCTCATTATGTTTAACACGTATTTGCTCTACCCAAGGCTACATTACCCAAGCTTTAAAAAGAATATTTTAATGAAATGTTGCATTTAAGAATGATAATGTAGTAATATGATCAGTGTACTGGGAATTTGAAATGGGTGTTTCTTTGGCACAATTTTTAAAATAAATGCGACATTATTAACGTACTTTGAAATCGGGATATCGTTCTCTATTCGAACTTGAGACTACGTGTGTGAAATTTCTCACCACAACTGTAAAGCCAAAAGTAAGAAAAGCACGTAATTGATGGTTGCGTACCATTGTCTCTTCAGCGTGCAATTCGCTTGAAAAATGGAAAAGGCCTGTGCGACCGTAAGGTTATTGAGGGTCGCGGTGGCGATGGCCGCAGCAATTTTTTCGTTTTCCTCTACAGGCTTCCGGCGTGGTGGGGCGGGGGGCCTACGTCGGCGAAGCGTCACGCCGGTCCGTCGAGGCGCTCCCTCCGTCTCCCTCAGCCTCGCTCCCTCTCCGTCTCCTTCGCCTCTGCCACCGCCTCCGCCCGACCCCGGCAGGGCGTCCCTGGGGGCCCAGCTGGAAGCAGGCAGGGGGCCGACGCGGGCGCGACCCGACCCTCTCCCGGCCCTCGCCCCCGCCCGCCCGCACACGACCCCAGCGCTCTCAGGGGGGCCCGGCACGGCCGGCTCGTCTGTTCTTCTGTTCCGCCCGCGCGCGCCCTCTCTCTAGCCCGCTGTCTGCGTCTCGCTCGTCGCCCCGTCCTTTTCCGCTCGCTTGCTTCTGCCGCGCTTCTCTGTCGCTCCCGCGGCGCTCACCGTCCCGCTTCCTCGCGAGCGATCCAGCCCCTCGCACCGCCCGTTTTTTTCTCTTGTTTTCTCCATGTTAATTCTTTGCTCGCCCGTTTTTTCGGTGCGGTATCATTCATCGGTGGGCGACTTGTTCTCAAGTCCAGGAATACTTCTTTTCATCGGGGTTTTTTTCTTTCTTTCTTTTTCGTCGTTTTTGCCTTCCTGGCGTATTCAATCTGCGCCGGCTCTTGGCGGAGGCGGGGGCCGAGCGTAATGAGAGTAGTGCGGATGGTTTTCACACGTCGGGCGGCGGAACGTACGAGGCGAAGGCAGCGGAGGGGACCTAGGAGGGGTTCGGGCTGGGGGGGGTGGAGGGTCGCTCGTTCCTCTGTGACGGCGCGGAGGCGGTGGCGCGGGTCCGATCACGCAATGCGGGCGCCCGGCCACATGTAGATTGGGCCGCGCGGGCGTCACGAGCGCCCGCCCAACGCATCGATCGACTGCGGCGAGGGCGGCGGTGGAGGCGACAGCGGAGACAAAGGCGAGGGAGATGCGCTGGCGGGCCAGAAGGACGCCGGCGCGCCCAGTCTATGGTGGTTGGTCGGGTGTATGAGTGATTGACGAGGGTGGAGTGGCTGATGCTGATAGAAAGGAGCAGCGCTGACGCCACTGAATCGACGTCATAGAATTAAATCTCTCAACAGAAACCTCTTGCTCCCTCAAATTCATTTGTCTTCAGCCGTTGAAAATATTTAAGGTTCCAGGTGTTCGAATCAAAGATGGATTCTATCTGTGATTGAATGCATTTGGATATGTCATTCTTGTTAATTTAGAAGTTATTTAAGATCGTTAAATAATTGTATCGTTTTGTAGGTTTCAGATGTGTTCATTAGGAGTTATTTGTGTAAGGATACATAAATGAATTTAGCAACATGCATAAATAATTTAGCATTTCGCATTCATGAATTTAGTACCTTGTCACAGAGGGAAATAGAGAATGTCTGAAGAATTGCCTTGTTGTGTCAAATAAGTTTACTAGTCGATGAATTATGACATCAGTAGGTTAAATAAACTCTCCTGCAGAACCAATAGACCTGGTTGCGCTATCAACCTGCGAGTAGACAACGCGAAGTTAATTTCATAAAAATACTTCATTGAAAAACCAATTAAACATTTATATATTTAATTGCATATTTTCGCTTCTAAAACGT